TGCCGCTGATGCCGTACTACGCCAATCCAAATTGTCTCACCCAAGAAAATCCCGGTTCGGATAAATTCAAGCCTTAAAAATCATTTGGTGATCCCTCCGTTTACTCCGGAGTATCCCGCCCTGGAAGGTCGTGCTTGAGCTTAAGACGGTGATTTGGGAGTCGAAAAACGAATAAGCGGAAACCATATTAAATAGACACGAGGACCAGGGAGGCCAAATTTTTTACCTCTTATAGTGGCCATTTTATCTTTTGTATCTTATGGTGTGAACATGCATTCAAATGAAACCTCTTTAGGATTACTTTTACTTGGTGATGAAAGAAGAATCTTTGGTTACTTTGAGCGTAGACTCTTTTTTTGTTTTTGTTTGTCTCACTCAGATCGGCGTTCCATTTTATACTTTATACCACTACATGAGAAATTTCTGCAATTTGATTGGCTTAGAGCAGTGGTATTTCAGCTTAATTTGAAAAACCTACATGTGAAAATTACAAACCTTTTGTGGGTAGTAGTATAAACAAATAAGAGCATGATTTGTACGTGATATTTGGCATAAATACCACCCGGGATATTTCAAAATTGTCTCAAATTTCACTCACCTAACGGCTCGTGAAATTACGTATAACAATTTTGAAATATCGATCACTTGTGGTATTTATGCCAAATATCACTACAAATCACCTTATTACCTATACTAATTGTAAACGAACTTTATATCCATTAGGCAATCAAAAAATTCAAATCTCACCTTGAAATGGTTTATTCCAAAATAAGGGACGTCTGCGCGGTTTTGTTTTTCAGCATTTTACAAAATAAAATTTAGCCACTTTGAACGTGAAAGGATTAACGCGACTTTCGCTGTGTTAACAACTATCGTCATTTTTATATTTCAGGAACACCTGGCTCGACTATGACTGACAATTTAGTCTCTATCAAATCTGGTGATAATGAACTGGATAAAATGACGATTGTTGTTGCGACCGCTGGTTCCACTCTCGGTGCTTTAGTAGTGTTGTTGACAGCTTTAGTTTGTTTTCGGCGCTTTCACCGGAGTCGGCGTTTCCGACACTCGGCGTTTAGAAGCCGACGTTATAGCGACGACGACCGAATTGCGATAATTGCTGCATACACCGGAGACGTGCACTTCATTCTGCCGTCCTACGACGAAGCCATGAGCCAAGTGCAAAGCTCACCGCCATCTTTTGAATCTGTTGTAGAGAATAGACAAGAAGGGGGAAATCAAATCGCGTCGAACGCTAACAGCCAGTCTGTAGATACTAACGAAAGAAATATCGCTGCTAACGGAACAGACGGCGCTTCCGAGGTCAGCCGTCCCGCAGCGAGTGTTCCCGAAGGAGGCCCGAGCACAGGCGAAGAACGACTGATAAACATCGTGAACAATCCGTTAGCTGATAGTTCACGTGAAAGTAGTGAAACTACAGGTATTAATCACTCTGATAATGTTTTGCTCCCGGTTGAGGATCGTATAGCTGATAACGACTCTTCGCCTAATCTTTGTTCGGAGAACCTCCCGAGCAGTTCGTCGGAGGACGATCTTACCTCCAGCCAGACACAGCCGTTGCTTGGCAACAGGGCGAGAGGTGTCATGGTGTAACGGACCTTATTTAACCATAGGCGACGACTACCCTACACTTCACAGCACAATAGGCGATTCATTCATCAATCTCATGAAGCACTTCTAACGAAAAAGCTAATAAGCAGAAGTTACGCGCAGATAAACGTTTAAAATTGAGGCAGTATCCATTAGTAAATTGCGTGATTGTAGATTTACTGCTGCTGATCACCTTTCAGTACTATCGACTCCCACACTTGGTCTCGTGAAATGGCCAAACTAATGCCGGTTTTTAAAATCACGGAGTAGTAACATAGAACCACCACAGCATGAGACCTAGTAGTATCGATATTGGTTTCTATCCGTAGTATCGACCCAGACTTCCTCGGACATCCGGAAAGCAAGAGAAGCAATAGGCCATTTGCACGATGGCGTCACTTTACTTTTCTACTACGACCAGAATCCTCTCTATAACAAAAGCCTGAAGGATTCTGGTCGTAATAGTAAAATTATGTATTTCTGTAAATGACCAATTATAAACCACAGATGTTTGTCTGTATAGACCGATTTCGAGTGGCCCCAAGCCTCTGTTTCAAAGCGAGGCTAAATGATGAGAAGCCATTCTCATGCAAATATAGCTCATTTTCACAAGAACGGTTTTGCACATAGCCTCTTTGGATTCCCGCCATAGTACGAATTCTACCATACAGCAAGTATATTAAGATAACTTCACAACGTTATTTTTTGATTTCTTATTAAATTTTCCTCATGTCGTACACAAACTATTATTTTCAAACTCGCCTTTACAACGCGATATATTTTTGTTGTTGTTTAATAACGGAGGTTTGTGTATCAAAAAAATGAAGTATTTACGTGCGTTCCAATTGGTAAAAAACATTGCTTATAATGCCAGTGAACTCAGGCCCAGTTCAAACGTCCAACTTCTCATGTACCAAACCTAATCCCTTCATTTAAGTCCGACATATCTAATTTGAGTCGACCAATGAATTAATTTCGAGTGGCCCACATGGGAATTTCGACCGTGGAGCGACCTTGTTTCTGAAACGTCGAACTTTTCACGTGCCGAAGTTAACGCATAAATGATTATTTTCTTTTCACTGCTAAACATTGTAGACCATTTTTTTACAGCGTAAGAATGAATTGAGTTCGACGAATTTAATTCAACGTCTGAATCGACCGTCGAACTTACATCCTTTGGGTCGATCCAAGTAGCTGTTGAGTTCGGTACATAAAAAGTTCGACGTCTGAACTGGGCGTCAGGCAACTTCACCAAAAGAAGTGTAGGCGTATTTTATTATAACAAGAGAGGTTAAGCGCTACGTTCACGGCAAACTGCAAAGATTACTTTACCATGAGCTTTTCCTGCCACTTCTTATCTTTGCCTTCTTCAATATGTAAGGTTGGTCTTCACCTCCGTGTAAAACTCAATAAAATGTAAACGAAATTTTAATGACAGAGTCAACTGTGTTTAAGGTAAAATCCAGATTCCGGAATCTGGGAATTTTTTGCTGGTGGAATCCGGAATCCACGTAGCCTCCCACGCAGACGTTCTTAGGGGTTGTCACGCGTTCCTCCCTAAGAACGTCTACGTGGGAGGCTAGAATTCACAGTGTGGAATGTAGAATCCAAGACTGCCATGGATTACCTTTTTATGGGGTCGAGAAGGTGAACTCTCACTCGCTGGATGAAGTTCTAAGGAGTTGTTAACTACGGGATATATGCTAAAACGCGGTTATCAATGGCGAAATAAAGCATCGCGTTTACGGCGAAGGTGAATTTGTACCACTTGACCAAGTTTCCCTGTTGTTCATTATAACTACACGAAAATCGGTAGATTCACGCCAATTTTATCCATAAGAATTGTTTTAAGCTGTTTTTATCTGCTCATTTCGAACTTGAGTTTTCCGTAAACGCGATGCTTAATCTCCCTATTGATGGCAAACGGGAAAAAGCTGTTCGTAGCAAGAACGTTTTGCTTGACCGTTCCATCAGTAACTAACAGAATTTTTATCGGTTTAACGGCGTAGTAAGGGGGTTGTTAGTAAAATCAACCAAATATGCAACCTTGCCCCCAGGGTCTTCTCGCTTTCCAATACGCCGCCGCCACATTGAAAAGCGAGAAGACCCTGGGGACGAGGTTGCCGAATACGTCGTCATGATTAAACTTGCATCTTGCTGATGAAATAAATGCTTCCTTTTTTACCCTTTCTGTTTTTCTGGACGACAGGCAATCTAAACGAGTTTTGCATGGATTTAGTTTTTGATAATACGGAAAGAAAAGTCTGTCGAAAAAGAAGAAAGAATATTAAATTGCAATTCGAAAGTTCTGAGCGTCATTGAAACAGTAAATTATAATTATTTTTCTTTTCTTTTCTTTCACACTAACAAAAGTACTCACTTTCAACGGTCATATGTCGCACATATGACCTCATTCACAGCAAAGCCTTAACGGATTTAGCTATACACGGTGCAAATTTACTTCTAATGATTTTCATTTTCGTTAAACTTGGTTTGACTAGACGTTGGTGCTAATCCCGGACCACAGACAAACGCGTTGGCACCTAAATTATGGAGGGTAAACAAGCCACGGAAAAACCAAAACTCCATGTAAGGATGACCAAAAAATTCAGTGAAAATCTTATTCCACTGCCCACCCAAACGTCCTTCCAGATAAGATCGTTTGACCTTTGGAGTGTTCGCGAAAATCTTCCCACCGAACTGAGAGCTAAAGCGTAGTAAATGTCCAGCAGAAGCTAAAACAAAGAAGATTAGGGCGAAAATAGATAGAAGGGAAAGCTAAAGGAAAAAAGTCTTCAGAGAAAGAGAAAAATATTTTTTTCGTAAAGTATCATGAAATTTTGTCCTATGCACAGGTTTGAACTTCTAAAGCTCTAATTATTTAAGATTGTGAAAAATAGGTGGCGAAGTTGGTTTAACTTGCAAACAACGGTTTGAATAGTCTCGGTTCTTTTTGGCAAGATAGTGGACAGAAAACAGCTTCACTCACAAGAAAAATTTCCAGGGGCGAATGACAAGGTATACCAAGAATTTAGACTTAGCCCCCGAAATGTTGAGCAACTCCTTTCATTGGAGTGGAAAAAAAAAGGAATATTTCACATTATGCCAAATGATATATGTTGTTCTTTGCGACGTTTCTTAGCCATCCCATTGAAATTGCCAGACACACTTACATGGATGGGTTGAGTTTTTATTCCCTTTCATCAAGCTGAGGCATAAGTGATATAATCAGTGGAAACTAGTTATAATTGTAGATCTAATTTCTTTCTAATGTTTAGATACTTTTTATACCAGTAACACACTGGCTTTAACAACGTTAAAACTATCCACTCAAAGATTATTACACGAAGAGGGACGATGTAGAGTTTTTATGCTGGATGGTCTGCATACTACTGATAGCTACCGAACCACCACTGCGTGGTAGAGTCGCTATTCATTGTACAAGTAAACTTGGGGTTTGTACTGCTGTAATAACCAAAGTTGTCCTCACTACTCACTGCCCCAACGGTGGGATCAAACTGGCAACCTGTTAAAGAACTGTCGATATGAGCAGTGTAAGTAGCAGCAACCTGCCAGAACCTGGCAGTCTTGTGAATTCCAGTATGACCACGAATGTTGACAAGCTCGGTCTTAAAGCAAACACCATCACCAAGAAAGGCAAAGATGTCGGCTTCTGCAAACTTTCCACGGATGTAATCTTTGTAGTTGTTGATACCGTACTTGTCATAACTGCACGTGGCTCGCCAGTGGGTGGATACGTCCCTCAGTGACTTCATTCTGTCCTTTGTTAGCCGGTAGAGGAACCAGTTAGGCGAGTTTTCATTCACGGGGTTGTTGATTGACAAGGGTGTTATCCTGTCGGCAATGAGAACAAATTCAAGCAAAGTTACATCTCATAGCCAAATTTTGGGGTATTACAGGGTATTACTTGGTGCAGTCACCAAATGACGTTATACAGAAGATTGTAAAGACAATGAATAATACCCACAACGCAATAGATAACCAACACACTGTAAAAACAGACCAGTTATGGTAACTATATTAAAAGGTTATAACCAGTTGCAAAAGGTAATTTTAACCCAAAATAAAATAGTTAAAATCGTAACCTTTATGTTATTGGTTAGATTAACCGATGATCAGCAGTTGTTGTGACGGTTATAATTCCGTTAGAATATCGACTGGTCAAAATAACTTTTCATGGCAGTCAAAATAACGAAACCAAATGGTTAAGCAAATGGTAAAAATGTGCATCTAACCTGAAATCAGTTGGTTAAAACCTTCTATCAACTATTTGTTGGTCATGACTAACCAATAATGATCTGTTATTTAGAGCTATGAAGTAGGTTAAACACTGAATGGTCAAAACTGAGTTTTCCGAGGGGTTAAACTGAACGAAAAACCACAGAAGAAAATGGCTACACAAACGGCGGGTATGAGTTTACAACAACAGATCATAAAAGCCTTGTACCCAACCTTCAACGCAGACTTTTCCCTTACGCTGAAGAAAGAACAAATAATCAGCATTTATTATGGGATTTAGGATAGGTTAAGACTGAATAGCCAAATCAACTTTCCTCAACAGTTAAAATATTTTAAATGACTTGCATCCAACTCGCGAGTCCTGCTTCAATGACTGGGCTGGTACGCGCGCGCGAGAGGCGAAGTCGCGTGACGCGAGGACTATTTTCTTCTCTGACGTTTCCCTCGACGGACTAGCCGAGAGAAATAATCGTCATCTAGGTGAAATGATTCTTCAAGGTTATGTCATTCAAATCAATGCTGAGCACCTCGAAAAGCCAACAGCTATCCTCGCGTATTTTCATAAAATACTTTCGTGTTTTTCACCGGTCACAAAATTCCAGCGGGTTTCCGGTATTTGTCTTAAGTGACCTAAAGTCACTCTATTTCGTCACGTCACGAACCCTAAATGGCGTTAAATGTTCTCAGTAAATTAAAAATCTTACTCAGTAACCTTTTTTATAAGCTTAAACTATTTCATGGTTGGAAACATGTGAGGCGAGTTTACTGAGTTTACTCGAAAAACAACTAAGGGTTTTCAGAAAATGTTGCATTGTTTCCTGTCAACTGTAGTATGTTACTTAACACCTTGACGATAATCTACTTAGCAAGCCAATGAGAGACTTGGAATTTCAAAATCAATGCCAAATTCGGCTCTCATAGTTCAGTTTTTTAGTTTAACCGCCTTGCGCCAAGCTGAAGTCAGTACTCTTGGTTCATTGCTGCGAAAAGAAACATTTTATATTTCGCCTGGATAAAGCCCTTCAGTTAAAAGTCAATGGGAGCTCGTTTCTTAGTCACGAACAGCAATGGAGATGTGGCAAGTAAAAAGGTAATGTGATTTCAAATTTATGCAAGTCCGAAGATACCGTGCTAGTCGACTTATCTAGGAAGATCGAAGGAGACTCTGCTCACAGTGTAGTCGGAAGACAACGTCTTAAGAATATATTACTCACTTGAATTTCAGTCTTTACTGCTTCTACAAAATTCTCAGCTAACAAATACCTTGCAAATCTTTTATTCAAAGGAGGATGATAAGAAGATCATGGCAGAATTTACTTCAGTTGACCGCCTGAAATAGATAAGCAAAATATCTGCCCCGTCGACTAAAGACAAATGAACACAGGCAAAATCTCGAAGACTTGCTTCACCGACCTTCACTGAAACAGCATGACCGGTATGTATTGCTTATTTTTAAACAGAACTCTAAATCGTTTTTAAAATTATCTTTTTGCAAATAAATAGACGCGTTTTGAGGCAACCCCACGCACTCGCGTGGCCCTTTAAAGTTTTCTAAATGTTCAGCACAGTTGCATAGATTTTCCGTTCTTCGGATGACCATCTTAATTGCAATATTGTACTGCTGTTACAGAGCTATCATACGCTATTACAAAGCTTTTTTTTTAAATGTAGCTTTGAGTCGCGCGTTGCTCACGATGACCACGCACACGCGTGCGTGCGTGTTCCCCACAGGCGTATCGCTGAAAGACTGTAATTTTTCGTGCGTTAACCAGTGAACTTAAAAACGAAATATTTTCGTGTATTTCAGAAATATCACCAAATTTGAATGACTGAGGGAATAAACAACTTTGAATGAAGCTCGGCGAGTACCCATATTTTCATTACAAGCAAGACAAGTCCTGATCCGGCGGATGAGTTACCCTCAACGAGCCACTGCTTGGAATAGGATCTTTTTTTGCTTTCCAGTAGAAAAACGTGGCTTGAAGAACAATGAAGGGCACTGGTACTTTTAGATCATATGCTCCGCTTCAATCATTAGCCAAAGAAAGAAAGTCACATGTACAGTGGGTGAGGAGTTGACTCTTCACTGGCAAGATCTTACAATTATTATATCATTGAATCTCACGAAATTCTTAATTCCCTATGTATTTGACAAAGCAGTTTTGGCAGGAAAGGCACTTATACCTTAAGGGTTTAATTTAATCTAAGTACTGTATCACTATTGATCCTGGAGTTACTTGAATTTTTTCTGCTTAAGGATGTTTCTGTTTTACAATCATATGCCTGTGTACGAAGTCTTGTTTTGCAGTCTTGTGAGAGACATGCCGTATTCCAGTTCAAATTTGCTATAGTTTAGGAAGGAGGGCTGATTGTTTAATCATTCCTTGTTCTGCTTTAAATACTTGTATTAAGAAACATAAGCATTTTTTACTTGCAATGTTGTATGATTATCTTTTTTATGAAGTTAGTGGTCAACTATGTTGTTTGTAGAGAACGGTTAACATAACCATTAAAAATGTTGCTGAAGACTATTATTGTGAGGTTAATGTAATTCATTACTATCAGTTAAAACGACCGTTTTCTTCTAACCCATATGGAATGGTTAAAGCTACCTCCTCTTGACTATTTTAAATGGGTTACCACAGATTCATCGCTAGTACCCAAAAAACTGGTTTACCATGACCACAAAAAATGGTTATTATAACTTATCTGTATGGGTTGAAACATATTTATCTTTTTATTTCGGTTATAACAACTAAAAATTTAAAGTTAGTTTAACCAAAAAGTAGAGGTTATGACAAACAAGTCATAAGAAGTGGTGTGGGCTGTGGTAGAAACAACCATTTTTAAGGGTTAATGTAACCCATAAAGAAAAGTTATTTCAACGGGAATAAAAAATGGTTAACCTGAACTATATTTTTTTGGTTACTGTAACCTAATAAAATACGGTTACCTGGGATTCAAACCTTAACCATTTTTTTGAGGTCACTATAACTGGTCAGTTTTTACAGTGCAATAGTTTCCTCAACACCAAGAAACAGCCAAATTTGGGTGTTAACAAAATAATCAGTCAAATGAGTAGTCTTCTACACAGCCGTTTTTAGTTTCGTCGGAGCGTTGCGTCAACGACACTAAAACGGCTGTGTATCAGGCTATCAAATTAGGAAATGCACAAAATTTACAAGGCGAAGAGAATTAAACAAATCATATAGTTTTGTCATCCGTAGGTTGATTTTTGTCTCTTCTTACTACGTTTTTGAGGCAGTAGTTTGGCTATTTTTTCTTCGCACAAGGCGATTTTTTAAAAAGGTTTCCGTAACTTTCTCTAGCCCTGCACTGCCAAAATAGCTGACTCACCACCCCGATTCTTTGCATGAGGTCTGTGCATCCTTTTTGTCGAAAACAAAACGATCGTCATCGAGTGTAATGTTTTGAGCATCAATGAAACTTCTCCCAAGTAACACTAGCCAGGGGATTAGAGCCATCAGAAACGGCGAAATTTTTTCTGGCGGACGACAAAGGGTTTTAAGAGCAGTTGTCTGTAAGATTCGAGCTATATTAAAAAGGCCCTGCCACACTATCTAACGGAATTGGCTAAAAATTGGCATGTAGACTTGATTTGAGGTCTTTAATAAGGAATAGGTAACTTTAGGTTCTAATTCCTCCTACTTAGGAAATTATCGACATGGCCGGTTTTTGGGTGCCTCGGACCGGCGCCATGTTGGTTAATAGAAGCTGCTTTTGAGCCTTCGACTACAACCCTGTCTTCAAAGCTAATCTTCCTTTGCCAATACGGATTGAAAGAACAATCCCTCTTTATTGTATTTTTAGAAACTACTTCGAAATTGATAACGTTTTCGCAACGATCGATTAAACTGTTGGTGGGTATACTTTTTGAATTTTTTACACCCGCAAAATTAACAGAATTTTAAAGGCGTATATCTCTTTTGCCACATCGCATTGAAGCTTGCCAATCTGCCTGAATACTCACTGTTTGTACTTAAATCGAGTTCATTAATAAAAAAATTGGGCAAATTTAACGGAGCAGAAACAAAAGTAATGAATGGAAGACTGTTCTAGCGACTTTGTCAATAATCTGTACACCGAATACTCGCCAGGTGTTGCCAAAATTACAATCGATAATAGAGTTTCTGTCATTAAATCTGAATGATCTGTGTAATAAAATTAGCCTCTGTAATATAATCGATAACTCTGCTGCGAAAAACAGTATAAAAAAAGGCAGATTGTATAAGGAAAAGGAAAATGAATTTGTTATGTTTATGCTATGACGCGTAAACAAAATCCAACCATCACAGTCGAACAGGAATTTTCCTGATTTTCCTCCAGTTCCTTTACCGAAACCAGAGCTTTTAAAATTAACCATGGTAATGAAAATTGAGATGTATTACCTTACTCGACGACAAAGTTGCCAGTTTCCGCCTTGATCGAAAAAAAGTAATATTTTCCCACGCATATCGCTGGTCGTCACGTTCCTTGCCTGGCGTTACAACTCACGTGAAGCCGCCTGGTTTCAAACAACTGAACTGAAGAATCCGTGAAAATCTTAGCCAGGCAATAGATAATGGAAGTTGATATAAGTTATCATTATTAGTGAGCGAGGATCGATGCGATGATAGTTCCAGCTATATGTATTTACAGCGTTTGAAGATTCACTCAAAACTCATGAGACATGAGCCCTTGAAATAAACATCATTACTTCCGGTTTTAAAAATTGGGCGTTTGCAAAGTAATGAATAGACTCATTCTACCTTGTACACCGTTAACAACGGTTCCGTGTACAATTTTCAGGTATTTTGTCTCAATCATGAAGCCCGTTTTGAGGAGATTCTTGATAAACAGAAAAATTGGTTTGGAAGGGGTTAAGAAGAATGAGGGATGAGCCCGGGACAACAAAAACCACAGTCACCCCACCGAGGGGCTTTAAAACTGTGCGCAAATGCCTCACCCTAGGGACAATTCCAGATTTTTGTTTCCTTGAAAAAGCTTAAAATCGCTAGACAATGCATGGACAACTCAAGACAGTCCTAATTCAAAATAAAGTAAACAGCAAAGAAAATTCAGTTAGAGACCAGAGTATTTGTCCGATATCGCGAACAATAAGGAGTGATTGAAGATGTGTCTGCAGTTTAAGGTAAAATCATTTACCATGCTCACGGACCTTTGGACAACATAAGTGTACCGATTGACGTAATATCAGTGGTAAAAAACGAACGCTTTTCACTGTAGGACGATGACGTCATCATGCAAAAGGCGTCTTCACTCTGGCATCCAGAATTTCAAACAGTCAAAACCTAATTTTCTCTGCTCGTCAACTGAAAACGCCTCTGAGGGCAAGTAGTGGTAATGTGCTTGTTAGTAAGACGTCCAACATAAGGAGACATTCATAATCAACTCGGTTAATGCATTGATAAAGGGAAACTTTCTCCTTTACCCTTAGGGACAGAGTTCAGAGGCGCAAAAGATTTTTAGTTCAGCTCTAGCATGTGTTGTCTAGCGATTTGCCTTGAGCTTCTCTAAATTTTGCAGATCAAACAAGCTGTGCCCATCATACATAATCTTGTCTGGGCTCCCTTGAAAAATTGCACTTCATCAGATGCCTTCAAGTTCATCCTCCGCCGCGACAACTTGGTGATCTATTTTAATGGGTGGTTTTCTGGAACTATCCTATGGCTTGTCCTTTCTGGTCGTCACTATATTAGCGAACATGTTTCAATTTTTCTCCAGCAAAAGTCTCTATCAGGAGCGTAGCCAGGACTTTCCAGGTGTGCGGAAAATTTCCAAAACTTACCCTAACATCTTACTCAGTTCTCTCGCAACGTTTCCCCACTACATTTGCTCACCTGCTAACTAGGTGAGGTTTTGCGTGGATGAAATGGCACTTGCAATCGGTGAGAAAATTAGGTTAGACACTTTACCCTCAAGGACGACTCTCACGTTTTGCTGACACTTTCTACCTTAGAAGAGATAAGTGAAGCTTTGCCTTCCCCACTCCGTGTAAAAAAATGTCGTTCGGCTGTTCAAACTACTTTTAGAAAACAACAAACTTCCCAACTTTAATTTTTAATAAAGGTATAAGGGTAGGAATCCAAATTGTTTTGGAGTATTTCACTGATTTTAACACGATGATTGTAAAGTAGTGTCTAGTGAGTACGGGGGCTAATGCCCCATCGTAAAAATCTGAAATTGAAAACAAAAATCTTGTATAACCGAGTAGTACACAATTTTAGTTATTTTATTGAGTTGTGAAAAATCACAAATTTGTTTCTTCTTGAATGTGTTATACTCTCATCCATTCAGTCTTTCCGATATGCCCGTCGGATAGCGGAAGTTAACGTAAATGATCGATTACCTGAAAAGAAGCTACCATCCTAACTTTCCACCTTCGGGTCTTTTCCCTTGCCATAATTTTTTTCCCTCAAGGAATTTTTCTCTGTTTTACATAACAATTGGCCTTGCATTCAGCTTATCGATTTTGAGAGCCTAGTCCTATGCCGTATTCTGATGCGATCTACTTTATGTAGTTTTCCCCCCATCTAACAGCTCCTTACTGAACAAAAACGGCTTTAATTGAGTCTATGCAAAGAACTAGCCAATATTTTTCCAGCGGTAAGCACAATGTTCCTAATTCCCCCTAGTCCCCTTCTTAGACGCTTTCACGTGCATCAGGTGTTAAATTTTCTTTTCATAAGCTACAATGCTCATAATCGCGCATTCTGATGTCATTTATGCTTAAAAAATTAAAAATTAGTTTATCGAAGAAAGAGTGAATTAAAGGTGTCATGAGGCGTTTGTGATTTCATGAACTATTTGACGCGGTCCTTTTCTTACGGCTTATGTCCGTTGGTGAAATCGCTACTTGGGTTTTCTTGGATTGAAAAGGGCGGGCTCTTTCTAAACGTGGCGTTGTTTATGGGACCTTAGTATTCAGAACAGAATCAGTCGATGGCAAACAACGAAAAGGCTTTTATGTGGTAAGTTACAGTGATGAACCTTGCCTCGAGATGGTCATATTTTTGTACATACCTTCATGCCATTCAGTGTTGGTCTGAAAATTTTTTGTTATGGATGGGGGAAGGGTGGGGGGGGGGGGAGAGATAAGAACATGTACCTCGTGTTGTTTACGAGACATTAAAGTAATGAGAACTGTTAAACAGTCTTCTACAAATCAAAATAGTTGCAAATGCTTACGGGAGGCCTTAACTATATGATGATTAGAAGGGCTATATTTGGAAAGGTGCATGGTCGTGGAGTTAAGGAGATTTGACTAATCAACCAATTTCCCGCTAAACATAAGGGCGTGGTCAGTGGCCCCAAAATTGTGTTCGCTCGCCCCGGGCTGGCTCGACTTTTGGGATACGGTTATGGGGTTATAAACAATGAGTTCATCATCTATATAGCCTACTCGCCCCAAAGTGACTGCATTTCGCTTTTCAGAGACCCATCAGTGACTGTATGACCCTCTGCGATCAGATTTTATGTCCGTGGTACTGGTAGTGAGGTCAGTCTACAAGCAGAGTCGTGAAAAACACCGCCACTTGAGCCTTTACGTTCAAAACATTCCTGGCTATCGGGAAAAAAAGAAGGAGCTTTTAAAAATACTAAATAAAATGTCATTTCAAATTTCACTTTGTCACCTTTCGAAAATTATTGTGAATCAGACCGAATGAAAGTTCACTCAAAGAGGGGGAGGGGGGAGGGGGGTTGGTAGTTCTTAACAGTTCCAGTTAGCTAGAAAATTAAAAGTTACGAAAAACTAGTGGGCGAACTGCAGAATACATGCAAGAATGAGAAAGAAAATAGAAAACAACTTCCTGTTCAAATTCGGGTGAAACGTTTAATAGCGTCAAGAAGACTGAACTTGATTGAGGTTGTTCATTTCAGTTCCGTTCCAGCGTGCAGTTCCCTGTCCTCCTAAAAATAGCTTCGTCTCCCACCGATCATTCCATGTCATATTTTGCGGACTTATTATTCAGTAATGACGGTACGATCAGGTAATTTTACTTGATGAGTTCTTTAATTTCATTTCATGTACTAAATATAGTTTTATATCTTACGCTGGAAAGATCTGCCAAACAGTGTACATTAGCAAAGGTAGGTTCCAGTTTACACGTGTAATTATCGAATACCATACAATTTGCATAAAGCTACAGTGCACGGTTGGTTTTTCTAGCTTTTTGATTAAAATTGACAACGTTTGCGTTATCTTTGCCTAAGAAAATATGTAATTTGTAGCTGTATACAGCGAAATACTACAGAGAAAATTGTAACTGTGAAGTACACGAGCGGCTCCCGATTGGTCTGGGAAATCGAAGAGCGAACTTGAGCCAGTACCGTGTGTAACAAAATTTATAATTTTCATTTTAGCGCATATTTCAAGCTCTTCGCAAGATCAGAATCAAAAGATCATCTGTTTACATTACAAGGGAGGGTTTTTTAAGCGATGGATAGGGTTTAAGAAGCACGATCAATTTTTAAAGAATTTTCTTTGCAAATATTCACCGAATTTTGTTTTGAAGTTTTAGCGGCCAAGTGGCTGAACCACTGCGCATTCATGCAATCATATTTCTGTTCCGTTGCATTTGCCCAATTATTTTATTCAACAATCTAACTTAGCTATAAACAAACTATGTTTAGTTAAAATGGCTTAGTCTAAATCGATGTGGCATGGGTTATATTGGCCTTCCAATTTCTACCAAATTTGTGTACCTTTTAAGTACCGAAAAAGTGCTGTGAGAAGTTATAGCCGTTCGTAGCTCAGGCTTAACCATTTTCAGATAAGAGTAGGTAAATGAAAGGAGGAAGGATAGTTCTTTGGAACTGTATGAGTCACGATTAAGTTATTTTAATGATAAGGCTAGAATTAATTACTGTAAATCTCCTTCAGTTCACCAACATGGCGGCCGCTCGAGGCCTCGTCAAAACTGTCATTCCTGTATCTTTGAAACCAACGAGAATTCGAACCTTAGAATATGCATTCAGTATTTAGGACACCATTCTAAGACTACATGCCAAAAATCAGCCAAATCGATGAGGTACCGTGTCAGGCCGAAGTTCGAATTTTACAGAAAATCACTCTTAATCCATTGGTAACAGTACCTAAAATTCGCGAAATGGTTGTTTTTCAGACTCCAAGACACGATAAGTGTCCAGGCCGCACCAGGTTCTGTTTCCATGTCACAGTACACAGTGAATCCATTCCCTGCAGCATCGTAAATCTTGTAGTAACCGCACTTGTCTGCGCCATTCTTCAGGTGGTCTACGCAAGATCTCGGTTTCAAGTTGCTGGCATTTTCTTGGCATGGTTTCTCCTTTAAATGGCATAAACAAATAATGCCTGTAACTATACTGGGACTAGAGTTACAGCAATTATAATCTAATGTACCTGGTGTCCGAGAATATATTTATTTTGGCTTATCAGTCATTTTTTGCATCGACTTCATTATTGTGTGTCAATCTGCCCTCTGTCAAACACGATCGATCCCCCGGCAGATCGATCCCCCGGCAGAGTTTGCCAACGGAGAGGATGAGCTAAGATAGCGACTGATGGTGGGCCGCTGCTATACATGTACATCACCTTTGAAATCTATTCTTGGTTCTGGCTCATTCTCTCTTGTTTGCCTTATATGTTTAGCCGGATTTTTGAAAACGTTATCGCCAAGTGGACCTTTTACGTCGGACAGTGTTTTTTGGCCAAAAACTAACTTCAAAGTAGCTATTATAAAAACTAAGAGTGCAACTATTGCTTTTGTTTTCGTTCTCTTCCTTTCCTTCTCCTCGCTCCTGCCTTTTCTCCTTTCCTTTTTCTTCGTTACTGTGATTTTGGAGCTTCTCGGGCTTAAAAACATGCCTTTTGACGCCTTTGACTGCAACAAGTTCGTTCGGTTGGTTTTCAAAAAATCGGCTAAATGTATAACTGATTATTTCTGTTTCACGATCCCTTAGCCCAGGTATCTCTCTTTTTCTATTTAATTGATATTTCTTTATTTATTCCTTTCGGTTCACTATGTCTTCCTGCCTCAGAAGGTAAGTCGTCTACTGTAGAAAATGAGGTGCGCGGCCCTCCTATTTCAGCTAAGTATCCATCTACTCGAACTGTCGCTGAATGAGTTTTCACTTCTGTTCGTTCTCTTTAAGTCTTTTTTGGCTAAAATTAGTCAATAAATAATATATCTTACCTTATTGCTTGAGACCTGTGCCGGATCCATTTGTTGTTTCACATCAATGTCAAACGTTTTAGCCTTAATAATTACAATTATAATGGTAATAAAGACAATAAATAAAAATAGAAGAATGAGCAATAGCTAACAATTATTTACCGAAGTTCAAGTGTCTATTAGCCATCCATCTCCCTACTATTCATCTTATTTTATTTCATGCCATTTCATATCATTTCATTTTCTTTTACAGTCGGTCGAACCTCGATTATCTGCACTTTTCGATTATCAGATCTTGTTTCCTTGGTGCAGTCCCGTTTTTTTTCGTGAATATTTTAAAATAAGATGTGATCTTGTTATAGTATTGTATAACTTTTATTATTATTATTTTTTATAGTTAAATAGCCCTTTCTTTTTTATGTCTTTTTGCCGCTTGAGAATTTAAGTTTTGAAGGAGACACAACACCCTTATCTCAGCTAACCATCTACCTCATGATTCATTAATTCTTACTTCACTTGTTGGCCGGTGCTCTGATATTATGTATCTTTTTAATTTTGATAATTAGCTAATACAAATTGTCCTACCTTGGGTTCAGAAACCTGTGCTTGATTCATTTTTTGTTTGACATCGGCGTCAAAAGTTTTAGCCTTAAAAAATATAAATAGATGGTACGAAATAAATATTGATAAAGATAAATAAAAATATTTTATTCCAAATATATTAAAATAGATCGAATACACATGTACAGGTCACATAATTTATCAGGCTTAGGAAGGCGCCAAACGTTAACATAGTAGAACGTTCAATATGTCCATGCAAATCATTTTTCACCCCCTGCATGAACATGTGATAATTAATTTAACCCCAAGAAGCAAAGGCTGAGGTATTACCGATTTTCCTTGGCAGGCACCATAAGCAGCTATCAGAAGAAAAAGGCAAGCGAAAGAAAACTTCATGATGATATTACAGCCACTCAAGAGAATAATTCACTTGAAACTGTCCGTTTACGGATGGATCTGTTAAAACGGAAAAAAATAACGGTGAATTTGTTCCTCTAACATTTTCAAGTAAGAAGAGACTTCGAGCAGTCTCTCTTTTTCTGAAGTCAGATTTAATGAAGGGAGTGCACGCTCTCGCGAAGTAATGCGTCAAGTAATAGGATGGGAGATCAATTTTGATTCTTGTAGTACTTACCTGCAATGTTACCAGAGCTACGTGTAAAACGAGCCTCGGCCTAAGTTTTAAGAACTTAAGGTCCTCAAGAAAGGTGTAATGAAGAATGATTTAATTAAAGCTGCCAATTTGCCGACTAATTTTCAGAATTTGATCGGTCGCCAAAGTGGATAATCCTTGCTAGTCCTTTTATGTCCTTATTAGTCCTTTAATGTCCTTAATAGTCCTTTTGTCCCAACTGGTCCTTTTCAATGCGTACTAGTCTTTTTATGTCCTCACTAGTCCTTTAATATCCTTACAAGTGCTTTAGTGTCCATGTTACAGGTTAAAATTAAATTCATGTTAAAATTTTTTAACCTACTGTAGGTTGATTCTCAATTTCCTTTGTTTTCTAGCCGTAACTCATGAATTGTTAGGGTTAGGAGACAAAAGAAATTGAGAATCGACCCAGGTTAAAAAATTTAAACCTGAATATAATTTTCAGTGTCCCAGCCAGAGTGTGCCATTGTGTGAATCATGCAAAAGATCAAGAGATGGCCGCCACCAAAAGCGTTCAAGCGCCATTATGGCCCGTTCCTTCTTTAATTCCGTGGGCTTAAAAATGTCTCTGTTACTTAAACTACAATAATTTTCCAATTTAAACAGAATTTTTAATCTAAAGAACAACGACTCCATACCTTTGTACACAACATGAAAATCAATCGATGAATCTTCTTGAGTTTACCTGATTTACAGTGAGTGGTCTGGAGACCACTGAGCCTTGACTTAGCTTGTGTAATATCGCAGGAGCTCTTTAGGAGCTCAGGCTAGCATGATGTTCTTGCCCGAAAAAGGATAAACCTGACAAACGCATCTTTGAGGTCTATCGAAAGTTTTTTCTCAGTAAGTAACGAAAAAGTGGATAGAGGTGAAGCAGTTCAGAAGAAGTGAAATTAAGCAGATCTTGATGGTGAAGTGGAAAATGAGATGAAAAAAATTACTTACTATTTTTATTGCATACATTCTGATTGTACTGTTTACTTTATTACCGAAGATTTCCTCTTATTGTGTATAAAAAGGGATGCTCCATGTCAGCTACAAATAAACTGCTATTTTCATTTCCTTAACTTTCCAACTGTTTCTTCTCTTTTCATATTAGAAAGATACTGGTGAATTGGCCCTTTCTTGAAAAAATCTGGCCCGAAAAAATGGGTTGTAGAGGCCACTTTGGCCCTCAAGCAGAATTTTCTGGCTGGAACACTGATTTTAACCTGTAACATCTACACTGTACCTTTTATGTCTACTGTAAGTCAGGAAGGGTGGAAAGCAAAAGTTTTGATTATAGAAACTGTTACATGTACAGTTTATTTTACAATACCTGAGAGGAAGAATTGAGGGAAGGGGAGCCCGTACGAAACGAGCAGCGCTGCTGCAGCGCTGCAGAATGACTTCAAGAAGCGCTACAAAAGAGCTGCAAAAGGGCTGGCTGCAGCAGTAGCAAAAAATGGCTGTTTTGCGCTGCAGGGAAAGCCCTTTGACAGCGATAAACAGCGCTGTTGCAGCGGTGCAGAAAATTTCCGAATCACGATCTGCGCTGCAAAGTGGCTTCGAATTTTAAGACAAAGAATGTTGTTCCCGGTAATGTCCTACCACTCGTTAATGCAGACTTCAATAATACAATAACTACGAAACATGGTAGAGAAGTTGACAAGGCCTTAGGAGGAGTAAAAACCACTAGAAAGTCAAAATGCAACTGATACTTTATTAGTATCCACGCGTACACGTTACAAAAGCAAGTGACATAACAAATCTGCAACAGTCTCGCTTTGTAAATATTAAGCAGTCATGGTCACTCATCTAAATGTAAGAACTGCCATTAACATGCAGACATTGAAGTTTATCTTTTTCTAAAAATAAAGAGAATAACAGCGACTGTTCTACATAAAGTTTACACCGGACAACAGCCAAATTATATTTTGATTCGTTGCAACACGTTAAGCCTGACATCGCTCACCTTGACGTTTTGTCCATGATCGACGATCTGCTACACTTTTTCGTGAAAGAAATCAACCAAATCTTACTTTCGTCGTCGTTAAATTTTACAATGGACTAAGGAACGTACATTATCGTTGAACGTTTGAATCTTGTACATGCATTCGTACCCCAGCGAAGATTCTGGCATCTGTGTTGCTTGCTCTGGTTCGATTCGTCGGCACTTCGCGTAGAATTCACCGTACAGTGCCGTTGTTTACAAATACCTTTGAGCTGTTCCATCCAAAACATCAACAGAACTTCCATCTCGAAACAGAACTAGATGCAAAACACTTACAAATTTGTATGAATGTTTGCGCCTTTCATTCAACGGTCACAAATGTTTGTCTAGAGATGTAATGGGATCTTATGCAAAAGTACCGACCAATTAGATTACAGCCTAGAATGTCTCCAGGGAATTAGCGATAACATTCCCACACTCGCTAGTCACGGAATGAAATTTATTGAAAGCATAGAATTTGAAGGTTTATTCAATAAGTGATCTTCCTTGCGCACGAGCTTACTCACATTTCTTAAAGGTACAGTCAAAGTTTTCTCGTTATAAAAGCCGTAATCTGTGGCAAGGCTTTTCTGGCGATTCATGTTATCTCAAGAACGTTGTGCTATCAGATCGAGCGCAGCTGAATTGTAGCGTTACTGCAGCTACTTCGCAGCTTTTGAAAGTCGGCAACTGCACTGCAAAATCGCTGCCGAGAGCTTCAAAGGCTGCACAGCGCTTTTGCATCCCGCTGCAACTTGAATTAAGCTGCTGTTTGGCTTCTAAAACGCTGCTAAACAGCTGTAATTTAGCTGTACAGCTATTTTGAAGCGATTTTGTTGCGCTTTACAGCGCTGCCAGTTTCGTACGGGAGAGATCCACTTCCCCCACCCTTCCGCTACCCGTCACTCTCTTTTATCTACCCTGCTTGTCATTTATATATACAGTTATTTTGAGAAACATTGTTGGAAAAAA